ATACGAGAAAGGAATGAAATGAAGGACATCGTGTCCCTCGAGCGAGGAGGGTCCACTGGACAACTCTTGCACGCGACAGGGACGAATGGAGACGTTGCTGGCGCCCGCTCGAGCAATTCGATGATCAACGGGACGACAGGTGATACAGGTGATCACCTCCGCCTATGGCAGATTACTGCTAGGCTTGGGACAAGTGGAACAATCACAAATAGAGTGGTCCCTGAAACGATGCTGCTCGAGTTTGATTGCTTCTCTTCCCAGTTGTCCAAAATTTCAGGATTAAGGAGTTCAGAAGACTTTTTATCAATGCTCCTTTCATTTAGCGGAGCGACAGGGTTTTTCACTGCGAACTCCCATTGTTGCAAAGTTCCCCATTCAAACACGAGTCCATCATCATTCATTCGTCCTAGCTTTACTCGAACAGAAATTTGCCTTGGAGTGTCAGCAGTGTCTAAGTGAAAAAACCCACTGGGAATGAGGAAATAGCGACCCACAGCGAGAGAAATCCTGCAAGTAAACTCATCACTCATATCAATCAACCCCAAGCCAACAGGCTGTGCCCTCCCTCAGCAAAACATTGCGGATGTTGGAAACACTTCGGCGAAACAATCGTGCCATCTATCATTTGACCTCGGGGGAGTTCGACGAAAAACGCCTCCACGCTTTTGCGATCACCCCTCGGGACCCACGCCGCGATGGCACATTTTGAGCCAGCCCAAAGACGCCTACGTATGAAAAAGCGACCACACTGGCACATTCCTCTTCTGAGCACAACAAACGGCGAAGTGGTGGGAGAAACGGCTATGGCTTTCGCACAGCTCTCTTGTTGAGGATTCCCCTACTTTCAACCCAGCCAGTAAAGAAGTTACGAGGCATCGCCACTTTTCCGCTTTTGGTCAAACCTGGCCACTTTCCGCCAGATAAGGCACAAAAGATGATCTAGCTGTTAACAGCTCTCTGTCCAATGCACTTATCACCAAGTCTAGCGCAAGTGGATGTTGCTTCGCCTAAGTAACGGAAATTACCGTAATCCCTGCAAAAAGAACTTGAAGGCATCAATTAGCGGCTAATTGCCGGCAATTATCAGTACGAACAATAAAAGTACTCAGAGATAACTGTTTCCCATTGCTACAGCACTGAAAGGAGAGGTCATAATCAACCGTAAACATCGTAAGTTATTCCGTGAAGGGAATAAAACCTGATGATAAGCGACGAGTATGTGAATATGTGAAACGAATATGGCGCATATTATCTAAAAAAAAGTACCGCTCACGCGTACAATCCAGCGAAATATGGCCATGGGTAGTTTTTGGAAACACATTTTTTTCTGACCCGATAAAAGGTTTGTCAGGGCTACATACCCATTCAATCACTTCCCAAGCTGCCAAATACGCAAGGTCGTGCCACAGTGTTATCCCCTACACGACTATTCGGCAGAAACATATAAATTACATGATTAAAGATGCCATAAAATATATTACGCCGTATTTACACAGGAAAGAGGAGCTAGAGAGATTTGGTCAACATGAAAAAACCACTCTAACTCTTAAAGGTTCGCCTCGGCATACTCATCCCGAATTCCGATTCTCCGCTTTTATAGAGCATCACAAATCCAAGTAACCAGCTGTGCCCCCCGCAGGACCACAATTCGGAAGGCGGCCGTACCTTTAGACGAAGTTTTCCCATGGGTGTTCAAGCTCAAAAGGATACTACGTAGCGCATCAGAAGAGGCGATCAGACTCGCTGAAGGTTCCAGTCCTTTGCTGTCGTCTATAGGAATCAGCACTGCTGGCACGACCGGTGCAACTTGACCAGAATGGAAAATAGGGCAAGGAAGCGCACTTTCAATAAGGTTTCCGCAGTGCGGACCTCTGGCTAGCGAACCGAAACAGTAAGCAGATTCTGACCTCTTCAGAATTCGTTGCAGATATACAATGAAAACTGGCAATAAGCAGAGGCCGTGATCTGTCACTAGCAGGTCTCGGAGCGTGTGTAAAAACTAAAGGAGCTTCCGATAGGACGGAAACAGCAATCGGAATCTTAACTTTTGCTGATCCCTTTGCTGCCGCGTCCAATGGATCAGCAACTAGGAGAGGCTGAGTACTTCCAGTAAAGCTTCCGTGCAAATTTCGAAACTTTGGAGAAGCCTGGCCGAGCCGGAACTAACGGGTGAAAGCTCCACACTGCCCGATCCCCTTGATGTCGTCCAATGAGCCAGCAGCTCTAGGGAAAGACACTGAGCCTCCAGCTGAGTTCTCCAACAGGTGTTAAATCGAGATGGAACCTCATAGAGCCGAAAAAGGGGCCAGAACTTTCACACGCATTCATCGAATGGTTTCTGTTTTCTTATGAAATGTTCGCATTAAACGACGTCGAACGACATTTCATTGTCGCAATACACCACGAGTAGCTCGATTGATTGACAGGCGTAACAGCTGTGGTTCACACATGAAAACGTACAAACACTGGTGTACGACATTCCCCAAAGTGTTTCAAAATTTCATAAATGTGCAATATCGCGTTAAATCTAGTGTTTCAGTTCCTATAATACACAAATTGACGGACCTTCAGCAAGCCGATAATCGAAACGTTTTACGTCGATAAGCCACATAATCCACGGCTTTACGTACGACGTCAAAGCGGTTTACGAGCCCACACGAGGTCGTGTAACGCATTGAGGACGCTTTAGTTCAGCTGTTTGGTCAGAGATTACCTAAGAAGGCTTCCTGCGATAAGGTAAGGATCTGGTAAAGGCCGAGGCTTTTGCCCTTCCTCCTTATGAGTTGAAAAAAATTTAAAAATGAGATGACCCTGGTTCGCACTTAATTTTGACCACTAAATTTCCACCTAATTTATCCGCTGAATTCAGTTAAATCAACAAAATAAGTACTTCTCTGAGAAAAATGTTGACACAACCACAATAGCCGAACTTCTATTACATTCAGAAATCTGTCCATCAAGGTAACCCAAACAAATTCGATCTACGAGCTACCAAAGTACAATCTTTGAATGCCAGAAGTACATGTCAATGACGGAAGGAAACAATTTGGCAGATTGTTAAGAGAAAGCGGCTGGCGGGGGAATGAAATGAATGATGCCAGTCGGAAAATGAGATCTCCATGTTTCACTACGAAAATATCAGTAAGTCAGTGGTTGTGCCCGATTACCCTTACCCTTGACGTCTACAAAACCCGGTTGGTAAAAATTGGTAGGTTAGCGAAATGCGCTATAATGGAGTGCACCAATTTCTATAGTTTACTATATTCGTGGGTTAAAGTGGCTCCCTGCTACTTCAAAATCCACATTCTCTATGCAAAGTTCACTAACAGTAGATCCTCTCAAAAGTAGGTAGATTTCAAACCAGCGCTTTTTTCATCCCAACCAAGTGTACGAACTGTGCGCTCTACGCATGCATGGCGCACGCCACACAAGCGCATATGCACCTGGTGAGGATGGTATCAGTTGAAGGATGTTGAAACGAGAAACGGGACCATCTCCTCATAGCAGAAGAGGGTTTTTCGTCGCCATATCTTCCAACGGAAGAGGTCAAAAAAAACGGGTAAAGCTACCGCGTAAAGGTTGAACCGGTTTGGGCGTATATCCAATGGATAAGAAGAAATTATTTTAGCTTTCATGTAACATTCGACCCACAACTGCCCCAGCGCCTCGAAAGTAGGTCCTGAGTCGTGCGAGAAAGATCCCCATTCATCTCTGTCGTCATGGAATTTATTCCCCGCCTCCTCTTGTGTGCACCTTAGCAAATATTTCAAATTGATCATAACTGTAGAGCAAACCGATTTCATTCGTTCACGTCGTTAACTTTATGGTTGCAGATCGGAGCAAGCCCAGCATCTCCACGGCTTTCGTTTCTCGTTCAAGTTGAACCACGGCTGGCCCTCAGTCCACCTTCGATGGCCGCGCTGCACTTCAACGGTCTATTTCGCAGCCATTCAAAGCTTCCTGGCGCAGCTTTTTAAATGCTCATCATTAAACAATGGCGGCCACGACGATTCCTAATGGAACACAACGTGGGCGATGAATGAATGAAAACGTCCCGCTACAATTTTCTTCATTCACACAAGCGTCTATAAACGTATGCTAATTAGTCCAAAGGCATTCGTGGGTTAGAAGGCGCAGGTAAAATATCTACACAGCGCCAGCACTGGCGCTTACCATTTGGCCTGCGCAGACATCGCTCAAGAATTGGGACAGGGATACCCTCTGAACGCTAAATATCTGCAACTACATGCGTTAAAAAACATGGTGCCATTCGCTGCAAGATGGTGGCAGATGATTTCAGACATGACAAGCTTTCTAAGCCAGCGCAGGCGACAAAAAAAGGGTCAGACGCGGTCAGACCATGTCAGATGATGTCAGATGTCATCAGATAAGATGAAAAACGTGTAGAAGCGTTGGAAAGTTCAGTTTCTTGATGTTTTCAAATTGAAGTTCACTTGAAATCCTACTTTTCCTAACGGTCTTCACGAGTCGTGAGTTCCGAAAAAATGGTCAGGCTTGTGGTTGACGGAATGAGTTGTTCTTCTGTATGAGGTAAGGGGCGGAACGAACCATTATTTCACTTGTTATAATGAATTCCTCCTTATACAATATCGTTTCTTCCTTTATTGGTCCGGAAAACCTGGGAACAGAAAGACTTTACCGAGCCACGGGTTTTGTTCGGGCTATCAGAGCTCATCAGGTGATATCATGTCATAATATAAGGAATTGTTGCCAAGGTGACCAAAGGTTCAAAAAATTTCCACGATCAATTGAAGGCCGAAGAAGGTGACAATACCGATTAAAGAAAGGCAGGCCCCCTGAAAGGGTGCGACCTACAATTCCCTGCAAAAGCTGGCCCCGTAGCGCGCTAGCAGGACCCTACATGCGGCGCTCGCGGCTCTCTACGCCGACCAACTTTCTATCCCTCGAGCCGGACTCCAGCTGTTGTAGCAGAGAGGAAGAGCAGAGCATTCACGTTAATGACCTCAGCCCGATGAGGCTCGCTGCAATGCGGAAATAAACGGCCAAATGGGGTCGAATTTCGCGAATTTTGGGCCGTTTCGCTTCGTTTTTCCGTCACCTCTGCACCATTGACTACCTCTACTTCACTTCAAATGGGCAATCAATTTATCGTAAAATCGGCCCTCGAAGTTAATGATGTGACCAGGGGATATTGAGGCCCAGGGAAGAAAACCCTCTGGCAACGAAGCGACCCAGATTACAGAACAGCATGGGGCGATAATTAGCTTAGATAGATAGCTGGGAGAAAACCGTGCGGACTTCCTGTTCCGCTTGATGGATTGAGGCTCTGCAACCAGTTCCGCAATTTTCATGTGAACAAAAGCGGCTGCAAAAGCTACTGCAGAAAAACAGCTGTTCTGAGCTGAGAATCGTGAAGAACAACAGCTTGAGACTATATATTGTAATTGAAAGGTAATCGATAGAAGTATTCTTCAGAGTCTTGTTAGGTAGTGGATTTTGGAACAATGGGGGTTCTGTCCGGGTTAAGGGTCAAACAGCCGCGAACGAAACACACTATAGTTTTTAAAACATGTCTGATTTCAAAATGCTTTTGCTTTTGTTAGTTTGTTGTTATAATATTATAGTTTATAACTTCAAATATTCTATACTGTGATATATAACTATAATTATCGATCAGCAAAGATCATGAAATGACGAAACAGCAAAGGTCATGTGGTAAAATGCGCCTCGGAAAACAAAAGGTTGAATCTCTTGTTATTAAATGAAGACATTGGCATCCAATTTAACCCGTTAGGATTGGTAAGAATTTGGTTATCGATTAACTAGAGTGTTCTTGACGAATTTTGATAGTACGATATAGAGAGCCGATTCCTATTGTCAAGCTGATAGAGAAACTGAGTAAAACGTGTTCCATTCAGAGTTTGCACAGACAGAGCAACAAAAGGGGCTAGGACCGGTGCAACCTTCGGTCACGGTCACTGTGAAGGTGATATCAGGAGCTGGTTCAGGAGACAAGGGACCGCCGTAACTATTCTAATGTTTGGAATAATTACGCTTAGTTAATATGGTTGTCAATAAGTGTGAAACACTGTAATTAAAAGTGCCGCGCTTCGGGAAATTAAATATCCTCAAGCAGGCTTATGGCTGACCGCAAAGGGACAAGCACAGAATCAATTGTGCCAATTGCGTCAATAGCATTACTGAAGCTGGTTTATCCTGACACTTCGTAATTTTTCGCTCTTAAACCCGATAGTCGTCGAGACTGGGGTTGCGATGATGAGGAGGAGGAGGTGGTAGAGGGGGATACAATCCTCTCTGAAAAAAAAATCTGGGAAACGGTTGACTTTTGGGCGCGGTCAGGCGAGCCATGGGATGCGATGGTAGCGGTGCACGTGCTGGGAGCTTCGTTCAGATCTAGAAGAGTAAGGAGGCGCGCATGGACTTTCGAAGCAACAGGATGGATCAGGCATGAAAGTGTGAAAAGATGAAGGAAATACCACTTTAAAACGACGCCTACGACGAATCTAGAGCCACAGAGCATAGGGGAGCCTTGGGCAGGTTAAACTGATATTTTACTAAGGGCAGCAGGAGCGGGCCGAAGTGGCCACAGCGCGAGATCAACTGCGCACTCAGGCCGACGAAAATGAAGTTAGACAATTATAAGCGAGTGGTTCAAGGTAAAAGAACTGGATTGTAGGCAGTGGAATAGATTTATCGATTTTATTGATTGATCCATGTTCCGTCCATCAAATCGCATCGGATTGATGGGTGTGAAAAGCAAACAGTTGGATTGTTTGGATAAAACCAACGTGGGTGGCTAGTCAGAAACTCATTACTGGCGTGAGAATAAATCGTGAGGATCTAATGAGACGAAATTCGTGGGTATATCGAGGCTCGTATAGGAAAATATTCGCACATCAAGCTTGGAACAATATAGTAATTAAAGTTGTAATTAAACAGAACTTTCAGGAAATACTCACGGAATCCGCCAGAAAACGCTCCAACTGTAGCGATACGCATATCACGAAGTTTAAACAGAAGCACATTGACCAGGCGTCTTGACGTCTTCCGGAATACCGGCGCCGACACCGAACGCGGAATTCGTTTCGACGATGTCGGCATCTGCTGACGGGCTCGAGCTCGAGAAAACCTCGCTAGGCACTTCAATCAACGGCTTAGAAGGCTCAGGCGAAAGATTAAGTATGAACAACGATGACACAGTTCATGGATTCCACCAGTGTGACGACATCAGCAATGCATTCGATGGGCGTGGCCTGTTAGCCGAGGGGCCAAGCGCCGCTGAGCCTGCACAGTGGCTTCGGGGGTTTGGGAACGTGGCGGCGGCGGCGGCTCCACCCATCGTTTTTCGGAATCTATCGGGAACGGATCCTTTTGCTTGGAAACTTGCTTTTTCAGGACGGGGGTGGCATTTGCGGAGTCAACAATTCCTTTGTCCTTTCCTAATTAGATTCACGCGTCACTTGACGCCTCATAGCGTAAGTCATCTCCCTGTTCCATTCAAGGAAGATACGAACTTCCAACACTACCTAACATCGAGCGCATAGAACATTACTTTATCTGCATTATTAAATACGCTGTGAAGTACTCCTTGAGATCACATTGCAAAAAATCAAAGAATCGACGGTACTGAAGGTCCCGTTATGAGGTGCGCCACGCACTCAATCCCTACTCCGAAGTGTGGTGCCATTTGGAAGCGACCTGGCATATATACTGAATTGTAGTATCTAACGACATCCAATTCAGTGCTTTTGTCCTACCGGACAGGCCCTTACCCAACTAATGGACCGTACAGGGGTATAAAGCTTGGCTCGCCTGGGTAGGACCCCGTTCGGGAGTTGGCTCCAGTACCGTAGTCGTGGACTACTACCACTACTTTCCACTAGACCAAATCCGTTGCCTCAATGGTTTGGCAAAGCCGCGCTGCGGCTAAAACGGCATGATCCTCGCTCATCGCGCTGTCACCTGCTTCTTTCTGGATTAATTAAATCCAAAAATCGGATGGGCTCGAGAAGCTTCGAGTAAAACGAGCATGAGACCGACATTCGCAAGTTTCCGGAGGGAACACGTGACGGTTGACCTTTTTCGAGACAGGGAACCCTCGCGCCCGACCTGGTTCAGGACAAGACTGTGGGGACGAGATTCCACTCCTAATTTAAGAGACAGACTCGACTGTGAGCCTCGTCGAGCCAAAAAAAAAACACGTAGACTGGGGACCCCTCTGCCGCATAGGGCGAAAAAGGCCTTATACGTAGCAGTTCTAAAAATCCCTTGGCTTCTGCCAGAAGCTGCTCTCTTCCTCCTCCATCCATACTGGGCAAACTGATACAGCTGAGCCGCCTTCCCCATAAAAAGGTCATCAAACGATGAGAACAGAGGGCAGCGGGAGTATGGTACTTGAAACAAACCTAAGCTACGCATCATGTGCTCTGTTTCGTGCACGATGTTCCCAAAAAACGGTATATCCTTAACTAAATATGTTTGTCGAACTGGTTCGCTCGGAACTTGAAAACCACTGCCAATTCCATTTCAGCATGAGTTCCCTTGTTCCAGGGGCGGTATTCAATCCTTCCCCCAGGGGTTGGGGACGGAAATCCCTTTAAATTTATTTGTTTTTAACGATGTAGTTTCTTCATTTTCAATGCATGCTTACTGTGACATACATACATACATTAAACCTAGGCCCTTTATCAGGACAATCCCAGTTGGGAAGACAGAGAAAATTTAAAGGGTTTTTCGTCCCCCAACCCCTAGGGGAAGGATTGAATACGCCAGGTCACCAAACACGACCTCCCTATCGAAGAGGCTTGAACACTGTTCCACGACGCTCCTAACTCCACTGATTCTACGCCGGAGTGCATTTCGTTCATACAGCACGTTCTCTGAGGGATTAAACTGCGCCGGCAACAATGCCCTTTATCCGGCTGTGGGACTCGATGACTGGGAAGTGCAATTCTTCTCCCAGTGGACTCCAATTCATGGATAAAAAGACTGACCACAGACTGACGAGCACCCTTACCTCCTCTCCAGCTCCATTCCGACGCCCATGCACTCACCCCTCTGCAATTCGGATAACTCTCGTGAAGTCGCTGTAGCTTTGCACCAGGTAGGAGGCCCAGATGAAGCTCCCTTGCTTCTGTTGCACTGCTTTTCAGCACATGGGGCTCTCACAGCGATGCGCAATTCTGCCACTGCCTCGATCTTCTCCTGTTCCGGCATCGGTCTATTGCTGACATTAAAATGCTTTTGGCCATTTTGGGGCCTTTCAGATTGGAAGCACTTTCAAACAACGTCTAACAGCGTTCCTGCGAGGGCATCCCTGGAACAATCCCGTTTTTAGACACTGGTTTGCATGATAATCAGCGATTCAGAAGCGCAATTTTCTCATACATTTCCTTTTGAAATTTGAATGGATGAAATTTCCCATGTTCCGAGGAAGAGGAAGTTCGAAGTCATCAATTAGCCCTGCAAAAAGAATTCGAAGACGAGGAACAGCCTCTAGCTTCCGGCCGGCCGGCTCTCCATCCATTTCATTGGGCTAGAGCGAAACCACTCTTTTATAGCAATCTATTGGCCTGAGGCACGCAAAAGTGCAGACGGACTTCAGGTCCTCCAGGGACCACATTCCCTCTGTACATTTATAACCTACTCAATTCGTCTTGCTAAGCGTCGACGAGGAAGTCGTTCTATAAGAGCGCGTGCGAAACGGAGACCAAAACACTCTTTGAATCTCAGCAATTCAAATGAATTCAAAATATGCGAACAATAATATCAAATTCAAAAACAATCTTTAAAACAAACACTTATTAATAATATCGAGTGAATTCCGCAGAATAATCCAGCGAGATATTGAACAAAATGATTTCCTTGATAACGAAGGCGATATTTAGACAGCGCTAGCGCCCCCTACTAGTACGTCAGCTGAACGTCAGCGCCAGAAAAAGTGCAGTTTGAAAAGTCATTCTCTGAAATGACATTTCCTGAGAGGGTGGGAAAAACACTGGGTACATTCCCTGAACCGTTTTACTATCTTGAGTATCTGAATGTCTAGCCTGCGATTCTGATAACGGCGCTAGGGACGGTGCGCCACGGTGCATTTCGATCTCTACAATAATTCAAACAGGCGATTGATTGCAGATGAACACTTTACCGCAAGTTCTCAGCATCGCTTGTTTAGGCTGCTTTCACACTTTGCGCCGTTGCGGACAGTGCGAACCAGCAAAGAGCGTCAACACGCGCACTGGCGCATGACGCGCGTACTTGACGCACAGTCAGTACCTTCCGATCGATAATTTCAATTTCAACATATTTCTATATAGACGACGAATTTGGCCTGAATATAACAACAAGGCGGTGAAAAACTACAATAACGCCAAACACAAATAAGTACGGGTAGATGGTAAGTATAGTATTTTTGACCGACCATTTTTTTTGGAATGGGCCACAC